TTTTTTGTTGTGGTTTTTGTTTTGCTTTTATGTTTCGGTTTTCTCAAGATGGGTCAGCATTTCCTTTGAGTAGAGCAAGTCATACGTGGTCATCAGTGTCCCTACTGAAACCGATCATATTTTGTATCATCAAGAACTAGTCTTTTTTTGTTTGGTATCAGACCAGTGGTATCGGTGCCGTGTTACTGGCACACCTTTATTCCAAAGATTAAAAACACCAGGAATGTTGTCAGGTTTTTAGTACTAGCAATAGCAGCCTTAAATAAATTATTAAATTTGACTATTTCTATTCCTAAGTAGAAAGGTAAGAAATCCTATGTGATCATAACCCTTTAATTTTTTATAAGTAATTTTTTTCTTTTTGTTTTCCTTATTTTAAAGTTCTTGCCAATTAGAGAAGGTTATTCATCCAGTAAACCAAATGAATAAAGCCAGATTTATACTGTTTTTCTTTTCTTTTTAGCTATGATTTTTTTTTTCCTTTTTAAGTAAACTCTACACCCAGTGTGGGGCTGTAACTCACAACCCTGAGATCGAGAGTCATGCTCTACGGACTGAGCCAGCCCGGCACCCCATGCTGTGTTGTTCTTTTTTTCTTTCTTTCTTTTTTTTTTTTAAGTGCCTGATTTGGTTGACTGTGGAAGAAACCCACCTGTCCTGTCCTCTTTTGTGACATCGTTAGTAGAAAAAAACCTTTTTACAAAAAAAAACAAAAAACAAAAAAAAACAACCCTGAGTTCACGACAGAATTTCTCTGTCCTTTTGCTTTTATATGCAAGGTACATACATCCCAGTAAAAGACTTTAAATCCATCTTAATTTTCTGTTTACACCTGGGTTAGTAAAATAAATTGATTAAAAACTCAGTGTAAAAGTAGATATCCTAAAATAATGCATGTGATTGCCTGGCTAACCTAGTTAATCTGGTTAAAACTTAACCTAAATAAACAACATAAATTTATTTTAGAGGGTATTAGGGTATTTTTCCTTCTCCGTGAACTTTGGCCCTGGTGAAAGGTTGGCTCCAGTAGAAAGCTCTCGAGTGTGTAAAACTTGTTGGTATTCCTTGTTTATTCTTGTAGATTTTCACATTGTCTTTTGAGGGGAGTGTATAGTTTCGCCATCTGCACTCATTCTTTAAGCTTTTAGTATTCACCGTAACACTGTTAACAGCACTCCAGAACAGAAATAACAGCAGCACGGAAACCATTATGTAAGCCTTGCTCTGAGTGATGGTGAGAAAGGTAGACTCCTCCCCTCTCTTCCTCTATCACCTCCAAACACTGGGCCTGCTTCCTGTGTGTGCAAAGCGGCGCACGGGGCTGTAATGCCAGTTCTCGAAAAACTTGGTCTTTGACATAGTTCTGTGATCGCGCAAACGTTTAGGTTCTTAATGACCTAACCAAGATCATTAGAATGGTTCGTCTGGACCTCTACAGAAAAATTCCTTTTGGTTACAGCTTACATAGGCCAGACCCTCACCTGTGTTTTAAAAGGGAAGTTTCTGTCCCAGCCTTCAGGGTGACCCTGTAACACAATAGAGGAAGGTCTAATCCCTATCACTTTTCCACAGAGGTTTTCTGTATGATGTTTTTCTCAGCTACTGTATGTGTGTGCCCTAGAACCAGAAGTGAGCCATATGCAGTGTTACGACATTACATTTCAGTTACACTTTGTAAGTTATTAAACGTTTTCATACTCTTGAAATGTTTGTGTTAAAAGTTTATCTTGGGTCTCCTGAACATTTATCATCTATGTCCTTTTAATAAGGCAGTAAGTCCTTTACTTTTGGATCCCCAGAAATGTGTGTGAAAAGTACGGAGGTGCCTCCCCTCCCCCACCCCGCCCCATATTTCCTCATTTAGTGCCTGCCCTACTTACTTACTTCCCTACCCGCCCACCTACCTACCTGCCCGCCTGCCCGCCCACCCACCCACCTACCCACCCGCCCGCCCACCTACCTGCCTGCCCGCCCACCCACCCACCTACCTACTCACCTACCCACCCGCCTGCCCGCCCACCCACCTACCCACCCACCTACCCGCCTGCCTGCCCGCCTACCTACCTACCCACCTACCCGCCTGCCCACCCACCTACCCGCCCACCTACCTACTGGGACATTCAGAGAGTCTCCTGCTCTAGTGACTGAGCTTGCCTGACCCCTACCGAGACCTTTTTAGGTGGGGTAAACTCGTAAAACTACCACATCCTCTGAAGATGTCGCATCGATGGCCTTCCAGACGGCTGCAGAACATATTTAACCACCACATAAATAACCCGCCACCCTAGACAGGCCACATAAACAAAATCTAGGTCAACTTCATAAAGATGCTTTAGATATATTTACATTTAATTATCTAAATTCTGTAGTTTAAACCTTAAATACCACATAATTTGGAGTTCCCAAGAAATTAGCAGTTGAACAGTAACTGATCCTGTAAAGATAACGTCTTATCATTACCTTGATTTTGTATAGTAAAACAGATCTCAAAAATCTCTTCCTCCCATCCAAAGTAACTCTTCTTGGGGCGCCTGGGTGGCTTAGTCGGTTAAGCGTCCGACTTCCGCTTAGGTCATGATCTCGCGGTTCATGGGTTCGAGCCCCGTGTCGGGCTCTGTGCTGACTGCCAGCTCGGAGCCTGGAGCCTGTTTCAGTCTGTGACTCCCTCTCTCTCTGACCCTCCCCTGCTCACGCTGTCTCTCTCTCTCTCCTAGAAATAAATAAAACATTTTTTAAAAAATTAAAAAAAAAAAAAGTGAGCGTGCCTTCTTTTAAAAAAAACAAACAAACTAACTCTTCTTTTCCAATTCGTTGGGAAGAGCACCTTTCCAAAGACGTTTTAAATTGGAATTCAATATTTTGTGACTTAGTAGGAAGTCAACTTTGTTATGCTTTAAACGGGGAAGAGGAATTAACCTTTCTTTCCAAGAAGGAACAGAACTTTCTGACAGCTGCTTTGTTTCTAGTTAACGTTGGGCTGTCTCACTTTGTAAGGAGGTAATTATATCTCTATTCAGACAGAAGACTCTCTGTGCTGTCTTTACTAAATAGAAAGGAATGCCTCGCACGGGACCTTCTGCCCGCGCATGTGTCCCTCGAGTCTCGCACAGATGGGCGCTGTAAAGGCGTTCGCACGTGTCCTTGGCCGCACAGCGGGTCTGTCATTTTACTGCATATCTTGAGGTTTCTTTTTTAGTTCATTTAACATTTGCACGTGAGTGGGTTTATATTCAAAGTTTTACTGTAGGATTATTTCTGTGGGGCAGGGTCACTCTACAACTCTACCTCTTACGTCCTTCACTCAGTAGGTCACACTCCCTGTGGTACAAGTGTGTACCTGCTGTGTACCTGCGTGTGTGTACCTGCGGGAGCTGGGTTAGGTCTCATTGCCTCACTGAGTATTCAGATCATCGAAGGTATTCAAATCATCAAAGCTTCTTTCCAGAGAATTTTAACTCTTTCTGCCATTTTGTTCTTCAGTTATACTAAGGGGATTTATTTTTACTCCCATTTTCTCACCCCTTCCTTTTCTTTACTATGACTTTAGTCATATCAAAGAATTTCTAGAAAGAATGTTTCATCTGTCCTTTTTAAATGCTAACTTTTAGGTGTCATCTTTATCTTTAATTTTTATTTTATTTCCAAGTTAATATTTAATTATGTGTCCCCTGAACTGTCATCAGTTATTTTGTCCAGTGTGCCACAATTGTCAGAAGCACCAAATGTGAATAAGTAATTATACCCTCAGATATGTAAAAGCTAGACCTGTGGTATGATCCGAGGTTCTTTATTTCAGTAGCTGTATGAGTCACCTAATGGTATGCCTCCATTTTCCTAGCAGTAAAAGGATAATAATGCAATTTGTAAAGTTTTGAGATCCTTGAATATCAACTGATGTTTGCTAAGCTGTTAAAAGCAATACAAAAACTATTTCTGCTGAAACTATATGTATTTTCCTTCCAAGTTAATAAATTACATGTTTAAGAGAGAACCTAATTATTCCAAAATCCCAGTGTTTGTGTACTAAGTGGAAATATTCCTCAGGATGTTACTAATAACAGAAATTTAACATGTTCCAGGCTTCGTTCAAGCCATTATTTAATCTTCATAACAATTCGGGGAGAGAAGATCTAACTTGAATCCCATTTTACTGATAAGAAAACTGAGGCCCAAGATACTCCCTAGCAAGTGCCAGAGCAGGATTTGGGCCCAGTCTGTCTGATTCTAGAACCTGAGTGCTCTCCACACCATTGTCCCACCTCTGCTCGAATATCTCCCGTGACAGGGACACTGCCTTCAGAGTTGACCCATTCCAGGACAGAGATGTTCATTTGAAAGCTGTTCTCTAACTGAAGTATTTAAAAATGAAATGATACAGTGTCTGGGATTTGCTTTAAAATGGACGAAACAAATTCTTACACTGAAAACTGTCGAGGCTGAGAAATAAATATGTGGGATCCATATGCTATTTTTCACTTTTGTGTATGTTTGAAATTTTTCATAATAAGCAGGTACTTTTTTAATGTGGCTCTATATTAAACTGTAAAGTTCTGTGGGATTCTGGAATCTAATTTCTTTGTTTTCATTTTAGTTTTTCTTTTGTTAATGATAAAATTTGTTCTCTTCTCAAAGTGATATCCAACTGGCCTTTCTCATACCGTTTTTTTTTTTTTGATAATTTACTGTTACTCAGTAGTGTTCTTAGAATTTTAAAAATGAAGGACAACATTCAGGGCGCAGCTGGGTGGTCAGCCAGCTGAGCTTGTGACTCTTGATTTCAGCTCAGACCATGATCCCAGAGTCACGGGATCGAGCCCGCATTGGGCTCCGAGCTGAGTAAGAAGTCTGCAAAAAAGGACAACATTCATTTCCAGAGTTCCCTACTTCTGTGTTTCATAATGTACAAATACTGGTTTTTTGAGCGTGTTCAATTTTGTCCAAACTTGTTGGACACCATTATACCTGCACTACGTTCAGCGTAACCTGTTGTTGTTTTTCAGGAGCCAAGCAATAAAAGAGTTCGCCCTCTCGCTCGAGTCACATCCTTGGCAAACTTGATCTCTCCTGTAAGAAATGGAGCAGTCCGACGCTTTGGTCAAACAATTCAGGTAAGCAGGGGTGGGGCTGGGAGTGAGTAATGTAGGAAGGGGACTTTTCAGAGAAGCCCAAATTTGTGTTTTCCTTTGAGTTGTACAAACAGTTTTGCACTATTCTATTTAAAAATACGTTTTTTTAATGTGATGGTAAAATAAATAGGAATATTTTTACCACAGCAGTATTTATATAATCTCGTTGTATGAAGTTACGTCTTATATCGAAGCAGAGCCTTAAATAGTTTTTATCCCCAAAAGGTAATTTTGACTGAATATTTTACAATGAGAGATTGAAGCTTAGATAAATGATTGTTTTATGCATTGAGAAATCTCAGAACTTTTATTTTAATTTGTCTTTCAATTTTTTTAAGGAAAAAAGAATAATTACTGTCTCCTTTAGATCTTCTTTTTTGTTCACCTCTTTTTTTTTATTTTTTTTTTAACTTTAAGTCCTTTACCCTTCGTGGTGACAGCAGATCCCCAGCTTCTGCCCAGAAGTTATCGAGCAGATCAACAGTCCCCACGCCTTCCAAAAGGAGAAGCAGTGCGCTGTGGTCCGAGATGCTGGACGTCAACACGAAGGAGTCTTTAAGCACCAAAGAGATCAGACGTCAGGAGGTGAGCTAGGCTGGCGTCCACAGCAAGGCCCCATGGATTGGCTTGTACTAAAAAATCGCCTTTGTTTTTCAAACGTGTTTCATCATCATAGCAAACCGATGCCTAAGGCAAAGCCGGCTTGTTGTTATATTTGAGTGGTAACTCGCAGCAGCACGGGCTGCCGCGTGGTGAAGGGGCAGCCGCTGAGTCAGCCGTGCCGGGACCAGCCTCCGAAGCAGGTGGCAGCCTCGCATAGAGATTCCCATCTGAATTCTGGTTTTTGGATGGAGTCACTTTAAAAAGCGCTGTTCATAACATCAGTTAAATCATTAATGATAAGTATCAACTGTATATAATTTCCCTTTCTCAGCGGAAGGAATGACCTACAGTGTTGGCTGGATTTTTTTTTTAGGCAATATATGAAATGTCCCGGGGTGAACAGGATTTAATCGAGGATCTCAAGCTTGCAAGAAAGGTCAGTAAATAACTTTTTATCATGTGCTCTGGTTTTTAAAAAATTTTATTTAACAAATTATAAAGGATAAAACTCTCCTAGATAGTTTCAGATCTCTTCAAATATGAGAATCCCTAATGTTTGAGTATTAACATATACTTGAGTTTCCTTTATGTGTAACAAATAGAATCCACGCTGGCTTTCATGTAGTCAGTCACGCTTGTGTGCAAGGAAGGTCTCTCATCATGTTTTATTTGCTTGATCGCTTTGCATGACCCACTTTTCGCCCTCTGATAGGCCTACCATGACCCCATGTTAAAGCTGTCTATTATGTCAGAAGAGGAGCTCACCCAGATATTTGGTGATTTGGACGCTTACATACCTCTCCATGAAGGTAAGATACGCCGTTTAATTTTCATTAGTATCTGAATGCCATCAGCACAAGTTGTTTTGAATCTAAGTTTCTAATTTAGTGTGGAATTATTTTTTAAATAAATATAATGGTATTTCTGCCTTTTTACCCTTCAGATCTGTTGGCAAGAATAGCGGAAGCAACGAAACCTGGTGGAACAGTGGGGCAGATTGGTCACATTCTGGTGAGATGGGTATGTAGTGAGTTGCTCACACCAGATCGTTTTCACGTGTGCCATCCCCACCGTCCGTGGTGAACACCAGGTCTGTTGGATCCGCTAGCTGAATTCTGAAAACAGATAAGGCATTAACTTAACAAAATTATATAGCTGTAAGAAGTTTTAACAGTCTCTGCTCAAAAAGATACTTAATAACTGATACGGTTTTATTTGTTTTAAAAATATGATCCTCTTAGGACACAATATCCACAATGTGTGTGTCGTTGTCGGGATTAACATTTGCGTGCCTGCCAGATGACAGGTGCTATCGTAGGAGGGGCCGCGGGGGTGCAGTGAGCAGAGACGTCTCTGCACTCACCGTCTAGTGAGAGGATAGCAGAGCGTGAGCAGCCTCAGAGTGGGTGGGGACCGTGGTCGAGGGACCCTCAGGAGCCCCGGGAATATGGAAGACTAGCATCAGCTGAGGCTGGGAGAAGGTAGCCGAGTTACCGGGAAATGAGGACAGGACACTCTGATGCTGGCGCAGGGTACCGTCCGACTCCTGCACCATCCGCGGGAGGGCTTCGCAGCCTACGGAGACTGGCAAGAGGTAGCTCTACGTTTGGTGCTTGTTTTCAGAGGCTCCGTAATGCCTGAATTGTCCAGGAACTTACCGCACTGTGTTTTCTCTTCCCCTCCAGCTGCCGGGCTTGAACGCCTACCGGGGCTACTGCAGCAACCAGCTGGCAGCCAAAGCGCTCCTGGACCAGAAGAAGCAGGACCCGAGGGTGCAGGACTTCCTGCAGCGGTGTCTCGAGTCTCCCTTCAGTCGGAAGCTCGATCTGTGGAGCTTCCTAGACATTCCTCGAAGTCGCCTGGTCAAATACCCTCTGCTATTGAAAGAAATTCTGAGACACACTCCAAAAGACCACCCTGATGTTCAGCTTCTGGAGGAGGCTGTAAGTCCAGTAAAAGATTCTCACGTGTTTCCAGTTGATACTTTAGCTTGCTCTCGAAAGGCACGCACTGATGCTCTCTTGCCTCAGGCCTGTTGCCACACGCAAAATCATTGAGGTGTTTTGAGCACCCAGCACCGTAGTGCACTGAACCAGAAAGAGACGTAACACACTTCAGACTTCTATTTCAATTCAGAGACTGGATTCTGACCTCTGAGCCCTCCCCCTAGCTAGCTGTGGGACTTTGGGCAAGTCACCCAGTTTGGCTGAGGCTACTTTTCCATCTGTATCATAAAAGGACTGACTGAATGGTCTGATTTCCAGAGTTCCTTCAAGCGTTATCCTCTCTTTTTAATATAAAGTTCTAGCCCTGTGGGAGAACAGAATTGAGTTCATATGCTGAAAACGTTTCATTGATTTCCTGGTAACTTTTAGATACTGATAATACAAGGAGTTCTCTCTGATATCAACTTGAAGAAAGGCGAATCGGAATGCCAGTATTACATTGACAGGCTGGAGTATCTGGACGAAAAGCAGAAGGACCCTAGGATTGAAGCAAGCAAAGTGCTGCTGTGCCACGGGGAGCTGAAGAATAAAAGTGGACACGTGAGTGTGTTTGCACACTAGCACGAAGTGCGCGTTTACCTCTCCCTTCCTACCGCCTTTCATTTCTGCTGCGTAAATTAGGAAGCGGGTTTGTAAAATAAGTTCATCACACGATGAAAGGTTACTGGTTTTTATGTTACGTTAAAAGCTTTGTGAACAGTGGTTTCTGTTGTGACAGGTTGATGTAAAATAAATGGTTAATAGTTGATTCTTTAGTGGCGAAGCATAAATCAACCTGTTTGGCTAGGAGTTCCTTTGCAGCTGCATCACCAGTTTCCTAATACAAAAGCGTGTCCTTCAAAAAAGGATTTGAAGGCTTTACAGTGATGGAAGTAACTTCTGGCACTACTGAACACATTTCTACAGCAGATGGGATGAAAGCAAACTTATTTCTTAAATATTAATTATAAGAGTGTCTGCTGAATGAAGTACAAGCATAGAGCGGTAGTTTTGTTTCATTACGTGCTTTTCAGAAAGAAGCCACATGTTTTCTCAGTTTTTATTTTAATTCCGGTAGTCAGCCTACACTGTCTGCTGGTTTCAGGTGTACAGTGCAGCAATTCAGCACTTCCTTGCGTCACCCGGTGCTCATCACAGGTCCCCTCCTTAATTCCCGTCCCCCGTTTCCCCATCCGCCCCACCCCGAGAACCCCAGTTTATAAGCTGAGGTTCAGTTGAAACCCGGCCTCTCTGATTTCTGTCGTGAGGCCTAATCGTCCTGTAAAGGCTTTTACATCGTGTGCGACGAGGTCAGACCGTAGACCTTCTCCCGGCCCGCATCTGCCTGAACTCTGTCGGGAGCTTGGCGTTTCCCGGCGTGTCACCAGCAGTAGGTCTCTGTGCTGCGTGGCATTTACTCAGCTGCCGCTTTCTCGAATGTCACAGCCTCATAAAAATAAGCACACGCGGTCTGAGGTTAGACCAGCTCTCCACTCGGGATGTGCAGACCCTTGAAGTCACTGTCTTTAATGAGGTCATTTGTAGAAAGTGGTAGTAAATAAATTTGATGAAGTTAATGATGTCAAAGCAAGACATTTTAATGGTGGACTTCAAGCATTTAAAATCACAAAGTTCACATTGAGGAAGCAATTGTTTCTCGTTTCTCCAGAAACTTCACATATTCCTGTTTCAAGACATCTTGGTTTTGACGCGGCCTGTTACCCGAAACGAGCGTCACTCTTACCAGGTGTATCGGCAGCCGATCCCTGTCCGAGAGCTGGTGCTAGAAGACCTGCAGGATGGAGACGTGCGAATGGGAGGCTCCTTTCGAGGCGCTTTCGGCAACTCAGACAAAGGTACGGGTGCAGGTTGGAAGCGATGTCAGTCCGCAGAAACTCGAAGCGGCAAAACATCTGGAGGGACCAGATTCCCTTTTCCCGCGCCTGTTGCGCCCGCTGAGTAAGGCGCCGCGCCGCTCCCACCCCCGCGGGCACATCTGAGGCGTCGGGCGCACGCCTCTTGTAACGTGTGTGCCTCACATGCTGCGAGTGACACACATGGTAGCCCCCCCCCCCCCCGTGAAGACGATGAGGACGTTATGTGCGATCTCCTTTTTTAAAAGTCTTGTTTACGTTTTTTATTCTTCTAGCCAAAAATATCTTTCGAGTTCGCTTCCAAGACCCGTGCCCAGGCCAGTGCCACACCCTGCAGGCCAACGACGTGTTCCACAAGCAGCAGTGGTTCAACTGCATCCGCACGGCCATCGCCCCCTTCCGGCCGCCCGCGGACGGCGAGGAGAACACGCCCGCTGCCGGGAACGGCACCGCCCCGGGACGGGCCTCCAGCGTGACCCGGGTGGAAGGCGATGGCGACGGGGATGCCCCGGAGTGCAGCTCCCCGGGGCGCGTGGCCGTTGACGCTAAGGGTGGGAGAGCGCCGCAGACACGGCCCGGCTTCCGGAGAGCAAGGGACGCGGCCCAGGTCGGGGGCAAACGGAAAGAGACTTTGGTGTAAAGGGAGTTCCGTGTGTTAACTGGCAGAGAGACTGTTTATTTATAAATGTGTACAGTTTGTTTTTTCTTGTAATGTGAGCGCGGGGGCATCACAGGGCTCCTTACAACCGGTCCCAGCATTTTCTGGTTTGGGGTGGCTTTGGTGGCTGTCCCCCCACCCTTTTATTTTTTTAATGGCAGCTAAAGATATACGCAGATTACTGTTAACGTAGTCCCCCCCCTCCCCTTTTTTTAAGATGTTTTTCTCAGATTATTTAGAATGTGCAAGTCTGGTATTTTTAATCAAATGAAATATTTATGAAATGGATTTTCTCTTTATTCTGCATTCATCATGACTTTCTAATAGCAACCAATTGTGATATTTACAATATTTGCCCAAACCTAAAGTTTTGCAAATACTGGAATTTTACCAGTGGATCTTGGATAAACTTTACATGCACCTAAAATCTATGTGGAATATGTTTGTAATATTGCAGAACTTACACTGAACGTAAATTCCTTGGAAAACAAACCATAAGACTTAAGTTTTCCATTTTATCAACTGGAACGCTTTATATTTGTTTTTCACTGCACATTCCTCATTTTTCACTCATTTAACCTGCCAAGTATTTAATTTTTTTTTAATTTGTAAAGTAGTTTTTAGTATTTGCTTTTATTTTTTTACTTCAATGCTTTTGCCTTTTTAATTGGCATGTCTTTAAAGTATTTCTCTTCTTTGATTAAAAACGTGTGTGTATGTATGTGTGTGTGTATATATATACATATATATAAATATCCTTTTTTTAATCATTGACTTTACCAGTGAAACCAAGCCATACTGATTTTTGAGCCAATTTGGAAAATTGCAGTTTTTAAAGTGTAGCATTCAGGGTGGAGACCATACATGAAACGATTCCGTATATACTGAAAGAAAACTGCCGTAAGGATTTTGTTGAAAGTTTTAGTGTTGTCTGAAAAGCAAGAGAGAAGGCAATTGGTAATAAGCTTTAAAAAAAGAAAAAAGAGGGCCTAAGAGAGTAGTTTTGTCTTAAAAATGTCTGGTTGTTCCAGAACGTGAAAGGAGATAGTAAAAGCTAAACTTGAGGGTGTGTAGTAAGTTGTAGAAGGTTTGGGGGAAGTGAATTTTATTTGCCTTGGTTTACGGGTTTGAAAAGAAACAATGAAATGTGTGACAATTTGACCATATTGGATCAGTTTTGATGGATTTATTCATAAGAGGGGAAAAGACAGATGGATCTTTTACTGTAAAATGTTTCTTGTTCAGATGAGGCCAGACTCTTTAAGCCCTGTGTCATGGCGGATTTCTAACGGTGATCAATTCAAGTAAACGTTGACTATTATGTGAACCATATCTGGCCAGTGGAAATGAAAATTGAAAAAGACTGTAAATAGATAATCCAAATGATGTCTCTGTATAAATGAATTATACAATTAAAAAAAAAAAAAGCACACACATAATCACCCTCAAAGGTTTCTTGGTTGGTGGACGTTGGGGCGACATTTGCCAGGAAATGCTGGTACGGCAACAAAAGTTCCTAGAAGTCACAAATAACCAAACCTTTGAAATTCATTGGTAAGGAAGAGAAAGATTGAAGTATAAGGTCAAGTTCTTTGAATCTTCTGAAACCATTTAGAATGCAGTGTAATCAGAAATAGCTGTTGAAGATGCTGATCATCTGGCCACTCCTGGATACAGTAGTAAGGCTAATTGCAAAGCATCCTGATGCAGTTCAGATTCTTTTTTTAAAGAACTTTTTTTAGTGTTTGTTTATTTTTGAGAGAGACAGTGTGAGCAGACAAGGGACAAAGAGAGAGGGAGACACAGCTGATTCATTTCAGGTTTTAATCTAAGCATCTCCGGTTTCTCACTTTGGAAATGCAGTCAAAAGTGTAGATTACACCAACAGTCATGATCTGAAAAGTCAGAAAGCAAGATTTCTGATCATTTCTAGAGATGTTCTATAGGATATCATTCCTTCCAGAACTACCTTGATCAGCTTCTGAAGTTAGAGAGACAAGTTCAAATGCTGTTAATGAAATGATTTTTTATCAAAAACTGTATCTTCCTTTGGTTCACTCAAGGGAGAAAATAAGACTCAGAAGCTGGAATGAACACTTCAGAAATTAGTCTGTATTTGAGACCATTTGATGACCTAGCCCAGTAGTTCTAAAACTAGTTTGGGCACCAGAATCACCAGGGGTAGTTTTAAAAAATAAGTAAAGGTAAGTGGGCCTCTTCCCTGATTGCTCCCAATACAAACACCCATTGCGCTAACTCAATACCTTGGGGGAATGGGTGGAAAGACTGAGGGCTGATGACTGATATTTGTAAACATTACCTCCTAGTAATCCTGATACAGAGAATTCGTTGGGTCGGCACTTAGTAATCACTCCTGTAGCCAAAAGATGTTATGTAATTGATATATAATAAGTGTTGGCATATATCTGCTAACTTTTCAGCCTGCCTTAAAGTATGCAGGGTCCATGGAGCAAATGATTTTTCTTTCTTAATTTCTTTCGGTGAGTGTGCTTATATATTTTAAGCAAAGTTAGTCTCTGCCTGGGATAGTCTTAGGAATCTCAATGCTCCGTCTTAGGATATATACACACAAGGTGGTAAGGGAAACCAAGGACCCTGAATGGACTCTAGCAGTCAGTGGGAAGCCAGTGTCAGTAATTCACCCTTGGGTCTGTAAGACTGACATTTCCTCAGCTGAGTCAGGTGACAGGTTACTTTTGTGCCAGTGAGATGTACTCTATGTTTAGTCCTTTTGTCTATGTGCAGATCCAGCACAGTACTTGATTATTAAATATATATAGAACTCTCATATTACTCAGTTAATTTTACAAATATCACCAAACACCTAATTAAGGCTTCCATATGTCAATCTCAGTAACTGAGATGCGGGAAGACAAGGTGGACATCTTAAGTTTGTCTTCATCATACTCATCAGTTTAAGTTCCCTCCTACCTGTCCCTAGAGATGAAACTGGTCTTCGCTGTGTTTCGAAGTCCAAGGGGTTCAAAATGAATGATACCTCAACCTACTTGGGCTTTTCTTAACCAGCATTCATGGACACCTACGAAAGAATACTATCCATTTGTCCATTGAACCAAATTCTCAGGAGTATCCTATCAAAGAAAATCTCCCTCAATCCAGAGGATTCTAGAACCATCTAGATCCAAAGGAGCTTTGATTTTTGCCTGCATATTTGGACAACTCCAGAACCAACCACAAGTCTAAGGATGTCTCAGGTACGAGTGGCTCGTCAGGTCCAGTGGTACGTGATCTGAGGTCATGAGTACTTAGAGACTCCAGTAGAAGCCACAAGCCCTACCCTCCCAAGAACATGTGTATATACACCCACACAAATTAGGGGGTTCGGGGATATTCGTGAACCCATCTTTGGACCCCAAGTTAAGATTTTGTTCAAGTCTGTCCTGACCAGGACTTATTTAGGAAAACATGTGATAGAGTCTCAAAAAAATGAAATAGAAAAGGAAAGAGGAAAATATAAAAAAGAAATTGCCTCAAGAGAATGAGAAGTCTCCACAGACTGGGAGGAAATAGAAGAGACACATCTGATAAAGGGCTATTAATCAAAATTTACCAACAACAACAACAAAACCTTAAAATTTTACAGTAAGAAAATGAACAAAGTAAGTATAAAATGGACAGAAGATGCAAACACACCTCACCGAAGAAGATAGGTGCCCAACATCGTATGTCGTTCGGGAAGCGCGTGTTCAAACAAGGAGACCTCACTGCATCCGGTCAGGACGGTGAGATCTGGGCCGTTCCAGACGCCGGCGAGGACAGGGAGCAGCAGGGATTCAACTCCTGGCTGGTGGGATCACAGAACCGTGCGGCCAAACTACATCCTGCAAAACCCGCCGTGGGGTCGGGCAGTCGCGCTCCCTGGCTTTACCCAAAGGGGCCCACACGCAAAAACCTGCACACGGATGCTTACAGCAGCTTTATTCATAATTGCTCCCCCCAAAACTTAGAAACAACCAAGACGCTCTTCATGGTGAAAAATGAATAATAAGGTATGAACAGTAAGGTATTCAGCACTAAAAAGAAATGAGCTCTCAAGCCCTGGAAAGACGTGGAGGAATCTTAAATGCATATGACTAAGTGAAGGAAGCCAATCTGAAAAGGCTCCGTGCTGTGTGATTCCAACTTTATGACATTCTGGAAAAGGCAGAGCTGAAGAGACAGTAGAGCTCAGGTGTTGCCAGGAGTCGGTGTGGGGGCCGAGGGTGAACAGGTGGAGCGCAGGGTTTCCAGGGCCGTGTGTGTGCTACTAGAACGGATACGTGTCATTGTACGTCTGCCCGAACGCACAGGATGGGCATCACCAAGAGTGACCTCTGACGTAAGCTATGGACTTGGGGTGATAGTTCACGCACTTCGTCGGTGCTGGTGGGGGATGTTGACGATAGGAGAGGCTGAGGGTGAACAGGAGCAGAGGGTGGTGGGAAATCTACTCTTTCCACCCGATGTGGTTGTGGACCTAAAGCTGCACTAGAGAAAGTCTGTTGGTTAAAAAAGAAAAGAAATGACCCAGACCCAGAAAAAAAATGTGCAATTAGGAAGGCACGTCTTTCCAGCCCTATCTACAGGGACCAAAACCGGAGTACCACTAGATGCTCTACAGACGTGGACGGAAAGGCTCAGCCAAGCGAGAAAAGTGACCTGCGTGGATGTCCGGGCCACGAGCCACGCTCTTGAACCACAGCTACTTAGGGAAACTGTGTCCAGAGGACAGAGTCTCTGCTTCCAACCCCCGGCCCGGCCCCCTCCACTCGCAGGGAGCAGAGGAGGAAGGTAGCAGAAGTCAGCTGGGTGGGGAGGGACCCCCACGCCCCAGTTGCCCTCCCCAAGGCGAGTCTGGGATGGGAGCTGGGCTCCTCAGCTGGGGTCCACCGACGCAGGGCAGAGGCCCACCACCTTGGCACCTCTCCCTTCCCTCCTCTGCCTCTTCGTGGCCAGGGACGCAGGGCCTGGGCTGTATCTGCACAACCGCACCCACGCCCTGGCCCTGGCGCTCACCCAGTGGAGTTGAGGATGAGATCATTCAGAGCCAGGCTGCACCCGCTGGTGGTTCCGGGCCCCGCCCCCAGCAGCTCCCACTCCTACTGTCAGTTGGACGGGACCCGAGAGGCTGGCGTCGGGCGCCCTCCACTCCTGGAAACTGCTCCGGGGCTGGAAAGGAGCGTTGTCTGACATCACCTCCCTTTGCCAACCCTCAAGTACAGAGCCTGGGTGTCTCCTCCCCGGCCCCCAGCACACCCTGCCCGCGCCCGCCTACATGCGTTCTCTTCATCTTGGGTGATTTCCGGGTGTGAGCTCAGCCCTCCACTCCCCACCCTACTGTGGGAGGAACGTGGAGCCTGTGATCACCGGGGGCAGGGGGGGAGAGGGCGCGCTGCGAGGGCCGGTGGAGAAGGAGCGGGAAGGCCCCACCGACTCTGAGGATCTGGGGGAGCAAAGCGTAGGGTGGAGCTGTAGCCCCTGATTCCTCTCCCCTTTCAGAGGCTCCTGCACAGACCCTCCCCAGGGATGGAACGGGAGGGAGGGGCTGAGCACAGTCTCTGCCCCGAAGGAAGAGGTAGCCTGATACACGGCGACGAGGCCACGGGGCAAACCGCACAAGCCGCACGGA